CTATAGTGGCTAAATTGCTTTCTTAAATCATTCCTAAAGAGCATAAGTTTAATAATTGTTTAACATATTTCAAAACTGGTGTAAAAACTATTACAATAGAGTTGTAAAATCAAAAACTTCGCTAGCGGTTTGACGTTTGCCGTAAACGTCAATCTTCTAATCATTGGCAATCACAGATGGTTTACGCCCAGTTTTTATAAATTATTACTCGAGCTCAGCTCGAGTCATAGTTTTGGTCGTGGGTTTTTTTTCGCACAAGACTTATTCTCCCACGCGGCCACTCTTAATTCTGACCAATCGAAACAAATCGTGGACGCATGTGATTATTTGTCATTATCTTATTGGCGTTTAATGGTTCATTCGACTTCTAGCCTGCGTATAGCAGGCGTTTAGTGCTGGCGTTCAATCACTTCAATCGGGCTCATTCGACTTCCTGCTCTCGTCCTATAAACTTTGTTTACTCTGAGGACTGTACTCAGTACTCGTGTAATAATAGTGCATAGTATGCGTACTCGATCAAGTATTTGTGAATGTATGCTTTTTACGTGTACTCCATCAAAAGTAAACGGCTGTACGCTTTCTAAGCGTACTCGATCAAAACTAAACGGCTGTATGCTCATTTTTTGAGTGCTCGATCTAGTTTATATTCAAAATATTCATCACATGTAACTATTAACTAAACTATCAAACTTAATTCCATCGGAATCAAAATACAAGTCTATACATGCGGCAGCTGGGTAGTTTATATTCAAAATATCCATCACATGTATCTATAAAACTATCAAACTTTATAACTACCGGAATCGAAATACTAGTCTACATGCGGCAGCTGGGCAGTGACCAAGTGTTAAAAATATTCTCTTAAGAAAGTTAAACCCAACCCACACACAACCCTAACTACTAGTCCAAAGACCTATAACCTTAAAATCAGACTCAAAAGAAGTTGAAAAAAAAAATTAATTTGAAAATAAAATTGTGCCGTACGGGATTTGAACTCGAGAACCACTACGCCACAAAGTAGCTCGCTCGATTAACTGGTAAATAATGAAGTCTTGATGCGAATACGCTGATATAAATACGATATTTTGCAAATCCTTTAGCTCGATATGGTTCGAGTAAACGCTTAGCAAGCGTCTTGTTCGATATAGTTTTGTATATTAAAAGTGCCGGAACCTTAACTATATTAACGATTGAAAAAACTTACTTGCCCTATAAGGCTAAGAAGAACTTGCCTTGCATGCATGCATGCATGCGCATGCCTTTGAATAGAATATTACCTATATGAGTAGAATTTGAGAGAACGTACCTTAGAATTTCACCAGAAAAACAGCTTGCAACCTTGACCGTGGACGTGGTTAAAATGACAGATCAGAATATTTCAGCTATATTTAAATTACTGAAATCAGGAAGACAATTACATATATATATTTGTGGTATCTCGTGATATCAACCAATTTCTTATTGGTTAATACTGGCAACTTCAAACAATGCATTCCATATTTTAACAAAATTGTTTCGTCCAAGCGAGTCCACACGCATGCGATTTTGCACGAATATACTTGTCGAACTGTATTATTTCGCCATATATATCTTTACTGGTACAAATGAGTTTCGCTAAGCGCTATCGTACAGCCGATGTTTGATCAGATTGTGATTTCATGCAAAATTTTCATGCATGAAATGTTCCAAACGGAAGACAGGAAGTACCCTGCTAGCAAATAGCTATAGTTTGAGCAAGACAACGAAGTACGAAGACGAAGGCTTACTTGAAAATTTTTGCCGTCTGCACATTATCTTGCGCATACTGAGTTGGACGTTACTGGTGCTTGCTCAACGTGTCTTCCCATGTGTCGCTGTTTATGAATACTGACCCTAATTCTTGCCCTGACCCAGAAAAAACAGTGAGACATGAAACTATACCCCGTCTTTGTCCTTCTGCCTTCGTTCGGAACGAAGTTCACAACGAATTTTGCCAAAATATTCGTTGTGAACGAAGGCAGAAGAACGAAAACGGGATATGGATTCATGTCTCGCTGTTTTGTCCTGATCAGGGTAAGAATTTGGGTCCGCATTCATAAACAGCTTACCCTGGGTACCAGAGCCTCTTTCTGGTACCCAGGGTATAAACAGCTAGACATGAATCTCTAATCTGTCTTCACCCCTGACCCTAAACTCAGAATGCGCAAGATAATGTGCAAGACAGGCAAAAATTGTCAACCACGTCGTTGTCGTCAGACTTCGTTCTCACTTGCTCAAACTCTCTAATATCCTTTTGACAGCGGGAAAGGACACTCTGCTGGTAGGGTACACAGGAAGGCGTGGATTGAACTTTCTCAAATGATTTCGTTGAAGTTTTGAAACCGTTCCAATAAAAACGAAACTGTTTATTATCTTACACTCTTAAACTGAGAGTAACTTGGTTTCAAGATTTTTGTTTCCACATTTAGTACTTTTATTCTCCATGAAGCCAATCATGATTCTTTGCTGAGATATCTCATTTTCTTTATATTCACAATGTCGCCACGTTGACTTCATTTACATATAATGAGATAGTACAATGCAGGATTTATATTTCTGTTTTATAACGAAATTATTTAAGAACCAGGACGATTAGTGCTGAGAAATTAATACACGCTGCATGTTCCAAGTGATTTTGGTAAATACAAACCAAGAAATTCGATTTGTCGTATACGATTCGTGTTCTGGTGTGCGTAATCGAATAAGCGCGCGTAAAATGGTTACATTTCAAATTTCGTCATAAACTAAATGAAGAGGGATTGTGTCGTCATCAGTAATTTTCATACGCCAGGGCACAGAATCGACTACACAGAAGCCCGACTTCTTGGTTTTTCCTATGATTTTCCACTGATTTTGGCGTAACCGTAATTCGTCATCAAATGGTCCTAGCCAGTGCGCGTTTGAGAGGTATTCACCCCCCTGAAAATACTCAAAATGGCGGACGTCCAGGAGGATAATGCCTCCAGTGAACGCAATATATCTACCTGGAAGGATAACATTCAGTCATTTGGCAGTTAAAAAGTGAAGCCTCGCGTGAGCAATGAGTGCATGAGCAGTGGCGTCAGCTCTCCACGCCATTTTCACGCCATATAGTACGTCAGTTTCAGTCCCTTTATACGCCATCACCGCGCGCTCCATCGCAGCAAATCGCACCCTCGTCCCCAGGCCCAAGCTCGGGCGGGGAGCAAATCGCAGCGTGTAAACGTACCTTATTAAAGAAAGATTCATAAACATTTACTCATTTCTGTTTCAGAACATTACAAAACGTGTTCATTTTCAACTGTTTCAGTAAATATACTATTGTACAGCAGATCATAGCGCTACCTTGTTCCCAGGCTTTTCCCTGGTCATCAAGTTTAGATTAGTGTCAGATTAAGATTAGATTAGGGTTAGATTAAGATTATATTAGGGTTAGGGGTTAGAGTTGGGGTTGGGGTTGGATTGGGGTTAGATTCATATCTATCCCAATAAGTTATTGCGCGAATTTATTGTATTGATAATTTCGGACGTGTCAGTTAACAATTTACTCGAGCTCATGCTGGTCATTTGTGGGGCTGTATTTTGATAAATAGCTTTTATATATATATATATATATATATATATATATATATATATATATATATATATATATATATATATATATATATATATATATATATATATATATATAAAATATATATATGCTAATTAGGATGAACAATTATATAAAGAATACTGATGAAGATGAGTTTTATCATATATAAAGTCACTCCACGTGACATATTATGGCTGACATGATTTGCCACAAGGTTTATGAATTTTTAATGAGTATTTTAAATATATATATATATTCCCTTATTATGTTTTCGCACTTTTATAACTGCTGGTTTACGGCCATCTGCTGCACAATAGTACTTTGTGAAACCGGTGAACGAAAATGACAAAACTGTTCGAAAAGCACTTGGCTATCGCGCTATGTCATTTGCGGGGCTATATTTTTATAAATAGCGCACATGTATACATAAGATTGCTTAGAATACAGTATTTATCAAAACTAATTTTTAATGATGAAACCTTTTGTTCGCAAACATTTTTGTCCCAAAAGAATCACTTTTTTTTCGAATGTTGGCAAACAGGATAATATTTGAGAAAAACATTTTTCAATGTTTCTGCATCAATGCTTTCGAGGGTGGAACTGAAGAGTCCAGACGAAAACTTTCGAGGACACATGATTTTCAGAATTATATAACATAGTTTACCCAAAAGGCAATATTTATATTAGTTGCACCATTTTTTATTACAATGTTCAAATAATTTCGTATTTTTGTGGCATACAAATGGTAAGTATTAGTCTTAACCTTGCAAAGACGGGATAACTAAGGGGTGGGTTTTACTGGACGTTTATAAGGAAAACGGTTTAAAGGAGCTATCGATCCAGTATAAATGGACATTTATTAAAACTAATTTTTAATGATGAAATATTTTGTTTGCAAACAGTTTTGTCTCAAAAGAAGTTTTTCTTGTTTTCAAATGTTCGCAAACAGGAAAATATTTCAGTGAAAATCACATTTTTTTGCAACAATGCTTTCGAGGGTGGAAAAGACGAAAACTTTCGAGGACACATGAAGATTTTCAGAACTATATAACATAGTTTACCCAAAAGGCCAATATTTATATCAGTTGCACCATTTTGAATACAATTTTATAGTTTCGTATTTTTGTGGCATACAAATGGTAAGAATTAGCCTAATTAGCCTTGCAAAGACGGGATACATATATAAGGGTGTGTTTTACTGGACGTCTGTAGGGAGAACGGTTTAAAGAGCTATCAAGTATAAATGAACTTAGTTGAGTTTTAGCTTTCTCCCGTAGTAACTTTCTAGAGAACAGTTTAAAGCTAATTAGTTACTAGGCCAATATGAGATGACCGTTATACTGCATGGACTATAGGTTGGAAAATGTAAAATTGATATAGAACAACCAAGTACACACAAAACTGGTCCACTTTAGCTCAAAACTAGTTTATTTAGTACATTTGATTACACATGCATGCCCCTTAAGGAACGAATTGATTTTATCTTTTATCAATTTATTACATAGTATTAGTACGTCACCTACTAAATTAACCCAAACTAATAACGCTACATATTTTAAACAACTTGTTTTAAACACACAGTTTTACCACATAATCTCATTACGCTCAGGCAAATTACAACAATTGAATTAAGTAAATTTAGGTAAAACTACACAGTCAAAACGCAAAGTACATCAAGTCAAGCAAAAATAAAACCAACAATCACCATCAGGGAAAGAGTAAACTTGGTCACCATGACACCAGTTGCACTGCTGGGGGTATAATTGTTGCAATTATAGGTAGTACAACATTCAAAAGCACACGATTTCAGACCAAATAGTCTGGTTAAAACGTTACACGCTCTTTCAGTATTGAAGCAAGTAGCACTGGTGCCACAGCTTCTTTCAACAGCTTTTGTGCCATTTTGGAAAGTAATAGATGTTGTGTAACAATATGTATGATCGTATCGACAGGTGAGTGGGCCACCAGTACATATTTGTTGTTCTTTTGGCTGTGTTGTCGAGTATGCACAAACATTGCATTTCAGAGCACTCCCTAAAACAAAAAAAGACGTGCAGTAGATCATTAGTGGCAAATTATCTTGTCTCTGTCAGTTTAATTTAAACTGTTTTATATCTAGAGACCCGGCAAGGGTCATCCCACTGACCTGAGACTAGAACTGGATAGAGTATCCTTTTGTATTTAATCAGCCAATTTTGAAGTCAAAATATTTATGTCTTATGAGATAAGATTTTGATGTTTTCTAATAATAAATATTAAAGCCCAGCAAAGTGCTTTTAAAAGAGCCATAAACCATTCAATTTAAATTTTTTTAATAAAGATTTAGTAACGTTTCGTCTTAACTTAAGACATCTTCAGACTATATTAAATTACAAGCTGTAAGAGTAATTAAGCATAAATTAAAGCTATCATAGCAATATTAAATTACAAGAGAGTATGAGGTACACAAAACGTAAGGATAAGAAAGGGTAATGAAGGGAAGTGACGAACAAAAATGAAAACATACAAATTGGACGACAACACATACAGACAAAACATAAAAAAGAGAGAGATCAGAATAGGTGAAGAGGAATTGAACTGCCTTAAACGTTGAGAGAGGGTTTCATTTTAGAGATAAGAAGGCTTTCATGAATAAGGAGTTCTTGGTCATCTGAACAAGAGGAGAGGATTTCAAAGTCGTCAATAGAAGCAGTGTGGCCTGTGGATGTAAGATGTGAGAAAATGCTGGACTGGGGAGGATTTTTACTTAGTTTGCCAGTGATAGGAGTGATACCCAGGTGTTCCGACACTCGGGTGTGTAGATGGCGCGTGGTTTGACCCACATACGATGCGGAACAGCATCGACACGTAAAAGAGTACACTACACCCGACTCCAGAGCTTTGGGTATTTTGTCCTTAAAAGAGAAAAAGGTGGAAAGCCGTTTAGTTGATCGAAAGACAAATCTTTTATCAAGATCTTGTAATTTAATATTGCTATGATAGCTTTAATTTATGCTTAATTAGTCTTACAGCTTGTAATTTAATATATTCTGAAGATGTCTTAAGTTAAGACGAAACGTTACTAAATCTTTATTAAAAATATTTAAATTTAATGGTTTATGGCTCTTTTAAAAGCACTTTGCTGGGCTTTAATATTTATTATTAGAATTCGTTTTCCGCCTGGTACTTCTCTGGTAACAATTTTGATGTTTGTTAAAATCTCTGCAAATCGGATTGCAGCGTGTTCATAATAGCTAGCAATATCAAGCAATTACATATCTTATGTAACTTGAAACATATAGCTTCCCATATCTTTTCTAGCAAGGAACATTATCAAGCATTGTGATTCAATCATTCCCTGCTGACAGAAGTCTCTATTTGTACAGGAAAGCGAAGGAGAAGAGACCTCTGCCTAGATCTGACACTTCCTCAGTCCATGATCGTGGACGAGTCAAACCAGTTTGTAAAACAAGTTCTGAAACCGGTTTAGGGAAACAAATAGTAAATATTCGAGGTTTTTCATGTTGTTTGAAAGTGCTCTAAGTTATGTAATTGATATTTTCAAAGAATGAAACTGTGAAAGCAGTGACAGAAGAACAAAAGAAAGCAATCTTTTCTGTTTTATTGGGCCGAGATACATTTGTTTGCCTTCATACTACGGTAAGTTTTTGAATTACCAAGTTGCTCCCGTAAAAACCAGTTTGATATCACGTGGGGAACATCACTCGTGGCAATTTGTGCACATGCGCGACAGAAAACGTGTCAGATCTAGGCAGAGGTCTCTTCTCCTTCGCTTCCCTGCACAAATAGAGACTTGCTAGCAGGGAAATTCAATCACTGAAAATTTGTAAATTTTCTTACCTAAAACTGAAGTAGCCAACACGACTCCCAAAGCGAGTAAAATTTTGCTCAGCATACTGTGATCTTTTCCAAAACTAAATCAAAGACAAAAACAAATTGAATAAAATAATTTGAATAAAATTGAATAAAATAACATAAAATAACATATATATACTCGGGACGTGAATAGTGCTTTTCACGCAATTTGATTGGTTGCTCCGGATATCCTTGCACTATATTCACCTCCGGACAAAAACAAAATGGTTTAATAACAGTTCAGTTAAACTTTCTTATATTTGTTGGAAACAGACTATAAATAGGTTATAAATAAACTCTAGATATGAACACCATATAAGGACATAATTAGTGTATGATTGACATTTAGCAAAACAACATAGGAATACATTGCGAGCGAGAGAAATAGGCGTGTAAACATAATACGTACAGTATACGAAATAAAATCGAATAATTTGGCGATTAAATACACAGTGAATTGTCGTGGAAGATGGCCCTTTTAGTAGAGCATCCGACAAAGTGGCACCTGCAACGAGATCGAAATATGGATAAACTAGAGAAAGATTTAACCGGGAAATTAAAGCTATTAAAATTTACGTTCGAGAAAACATCAGAAATTGTGAATAAAGCAAATATTGTCGCCATCGAAAGACAACGCGAAGCATTGATAAAGATTACTGCGAAAATCGAGGAAGTAAAATTACAGATTTTAGAAGGAAAGTTTGAACGGGGAGACAACGATGAAACAATTTCAAATTGGAGCAAAAATGTCGAAGAACAAGTCGAAAAAGTCGATGCGGAAGTCGAAAAGCTACAAAAATATTTGGATGAAATCGGAAAGCCAACGAAGCGAGCAAAGCGAAAGAAGCTGAACGAGCACAACAACTACAGTTTGAGAAAGAACAATACGAACAAAAACTGCATTTTGAGCACAAAGTTGATGAAATCAAGAAAGATAAAGCTACAAAAAAGCCGGATCAAATTCAAACGAAGCTTCCCAAGTTAATTATTACCCCCATTTAATGGCGCACCAACCGATTGGCTTCGTTTTTGGAACATATTTGAAACCGAAATAGACAACAACAGTGATATAGCACCCGTAACCAAATTCGCCTATCTAAAAGAACTTTTGAAACCAAATGTTAGATCAACTGTAGATGGACTACCATTTTCAACTGAAGGATATACCAGAGCGAAAAATATTTTAAAGAACAAGTATGGCAACACCAGAGATTGTCAACGCCTATGTGCAAAACATTATGGCTTTATCAGTTATCAATGGTACACAGCCCTGGAAAATACACGATTTTTATGAGAAATTATTATTCAACGTTCAAGCACTCGAAACTTTAAGGAAATTAACTGAGATAAATGGTTATGTGCGAATGTCGATAGACAAGCTCGAAGGGATACGGGGAGATTTACTTCGAACGGATGACAAATGGCGCGAATGGGACTTTCCGAAATTTGTCGAAGCACTGCGAATGTGGACCGAAAGGAACCCCTGCCTACCACGAAAGAAGCGGAGCGAATTCCCAAGTGGGTCTTCCTATAATACCCAACAACGTACCTGTGTTTATTGTGATAAGCCAGACCACAAGTCAATCGATTGTGGCAGTGTGACTAAACCCGGTGAGCGAAGGCAGATTTTACAGCGCAAACGACTCTGTTTTAGCTGTACCGGTTCAGGGCACAGAGCTTCGGAGTGTAAAAGTCGATCGAAATGTCGGGTCTGCGATGGGAAGCACCATTCCTCCATTTGTGAAAAACCACTGAAAGAGAACCTGATGACAACCAATCAAGGAAACGAACAGCATGTTGTATATCCAGTTGTGGTTGTAGATGTGCATGGAGTCAAATGTCGTGCGTTGCTGGATTCGGGATCAGGTAGCTCCTACGTATCAGCCGTCTTGCTCAAAACGATTGGAGTCAAACCCATCAGCTCGGAAATACGACAAATCGAAATGATGTTGAGCACCACAACACGAAGGATGGACGTTTACACTGTCAATGTAAGCTCGTTGAATAAGTCTTTTGAAATGGACATCAATGTCAGCAAAGTGGAGAAGCCTCAACTCATGACTTTGAAGAATCCTGGTTATAAGAGCCTCCTGGGAAGACACCCACATCTCGAAGGCGTAGTCATGGATGACAACGACACCAAGACCAACTAACCTGTTCACTTAATCCTGGGAATCAGTGAATGCACCAGAATAAGTACAGCAGAACCGCAGCGCATCGGTGGAGAATGGGATCCAGTGGCTACACTTACCAAGCTGGATGGACGCACGAGAATCCAGCGGATTTGGGCAGCCGTGGCGGTGCTGTAACGCAGACCAACGAGCTATGGTGGAATGGACCAAAGTGGCTTTCCAAACCCGAGGAATGGCCTGAAAACGTCAGTACGAAAGCTACCAAAGAATCACTTGGAGAGGCTAAGAAAGTTCGTGAATTGTTCAAATTGGCGACCGATCATGAACCAGATGAGTTCAGTCAACTTATTGAAAGGCGAAATTACTGGACGGTGATTAGAACGTGTGCATGGATCGCGAGGTTTGTGCACAACGCGAGAAACAAAATTAAAAAGGTCGGTCCACTAACTACAGAAGAGATTGAAGCACAAAAGAAATTTTGGGAAGAAAGGGCTCAACGACAAGGCGAAGCGAGTGAGAAGTACGATGCTGACCGAATGCAACTCAACCTACAGCGTAACCAATCGGGATTGTTAGAATGTCGAGGTAGAGTTCAAGGACTTTATCCCATTTACCTTCCAGATACTGAGATCTACACAGAGAAATTCGTACAGCAAGCTCATGAAGATACACTCCACGGTGGAGTGGGACTCACGATGGCAAAAGTTCGCGAAAACCATTGGGTACCTCGCCTGCGACAGCTAGCGAAACGGCTTATCAAGAAATGCCCCAGTTGCAAGAGGTTCCAGATCACAGCTCTGGCCAGTCCACCACCTGGTTTTCTCCCAAAGGATCGAACAGAAGGGAACACTGCTTTTCAAGTAGTTGGAGTCGATTACGCAGGGCCCCTTAAGATCCGAGTTAAGCAGACGCGAGAAGGAAAAGCATACTGTATATCATGTTATTCGCCTGTAGTCTGACGAGACCTTTACACCTAGATTTGGCTAAATCTATGGAAATGGAAGAGTTTCTGTTCAGTTTTAAGAGTTTCGTAGCCAGACGTGAAAGACCTGAAAAGGTGTACTCGGACAATGGTCGAACTTTTGTCGGAGCTGCATCGTGGATAAAGAAAGTAAGATCAAGTGAAAAGTTCAACGACTTCCTCGCTCACCAGGGAATAACTTGGCAATTCAATCTCAGCAAAGCGCCCTGGTGGGGAGGGCAATTTGAGCGTATGGTTGGGCTAGTAAAGGGAGCTCTAAGAAAGTCCATCGGGAAAAGTCTTCTGACGTTCACCGAACTTAAAGAAGTCCTGTTAGATGTCGAGGTCGCTTTAAATAACCGCCCCTTGTCGTATGTAGAAGATGATATCCAAATGCCGTTGATAACAACCGAAAGTATGATGCGTCCTCAGTCTAACTTGCTGCCAGAATTGGAACCACACCTCGAAGAAACCGTACCATTAAGGAAAAGAGCGAAGTACATTAAAAAATGTAAAGATACAATGTGGAAACGCTGGACGAATGAGTATTTACGGGGTCTTCGCGAACGACATAATTTCAAACACAGCAGATCATCCGGAACAGTGGAAAAAGGTGACGTTGTGATCATAAAGGGTGACGAGAAAGACAGAAATCAATGGAAATTAGGGATTTTGGACAAAGTGTTGCCTGGTAAAGATGGTATTGTACGAGCGGTGAGACTTCGGAGCGGGAAGAAACCAACTTGAAAGGCCGATACAGCACCTTTATCCGTTGGAGCTGAGACATAGAAAGAAATACGAAGACGAATTTAAATCCGGAGATACCAGCCTTTCGACCGAGACGTAACGCAGCGGAGGTAGCGAAAGTTCGTATAAGTGACATTGCAGAAAATGAAAACAGTAACTGAACTGACGTTTAAGAGTTGAACTTATAGATTGATATTGATAATATTATTATAGGGTAATGCATGCAACAAGTGTATTGAACACCTCCGGTGTTAAATAGGGGAGTGTGTTGGAAACAGACTATAAATAGGTTATGAACAAACACTAGATATGAACACCATATAAGGACATAATTAGTGTATGATTGACATTTAGCAAAAACAACATAGTGAGACATTGCGAGTGAGAGAAATATAGGCGTGTAAACATAGTACAACATACGAAATAAAATCGAATAATTTGGCGATTAAAAACACAGTGAATTGTCGTGAAGGACGGCCCTTTTAGTAGAGCATTCCGACATCTCACACAAAGTATGAAAGAAATAACGTTTCAGTTTTCACAATTCTTACCGGCAAATGAGGCAATAAAAAATTTGGTGCCAACCATGAAACAGCAAAATTTACAAAGGACTGATTACATGGAGCGATTTCAGCCTAGGAACTCAGCCCAGGCTGAAAATTTTGATGATTACATGGGCATTTTCAATCTGATTCAGCCTCGATTGATACACCGGGTGGAAAGCGTAATTTAAAAATGAAAATTAAAGCCCAGCAAATGACTTTCAGACAAGACATAACAAAAATATAAATTCAGCCTGGGTATAAATTCAGGGTGCGATAATTCGCGTACTTACGTACCGGAGGTACGCCAATATTAGTCTGGCTGGTACTTTTTGTTTTGTAGCCAAGTACCACGTAGTATAAGTACGCAGGACTTTCACTATCTGCATACTTAACTTTTGTTGGAAAACTACATACTGTAACCTTTCCAAGCTCAAGGTATTCCAAAAAGTGATTAAGTACTGTAGGTATAATTATGTGTAAGTCTGACATGTCTTGTTATCGACTGATGGGATGAGATGGGACTAAAGGAATGTTCGAGTCAATTGTAGTATTTTCTTCTTGTTCTATAATTTAAGTAATTGAATACCTTTTAGAAAACTGTGCTTTATGTACTTTATTTTAAAGACTAAAGCCCCGTTTACACTACGCTCAATTTTTGGTACGGCACGAATAAAATTGGTACCCGTACCACTTTTTTGGTTCTTGGACTACCTAAATAGGTAGTCCAAGAACCAAAAAGTGGTACGGTACCAAAAATTGAGCGTAGTGTAAACGGGGCTAAGCTAAATAGGTAGTCCAAGAACCAAAAAAGTGGTACGGGTACTAATTTTATCCGTGCCGTACCAAAAATTGAGGGTAGTGTAAACGGGGCTTAAGTACACTTATAGTAGCAGCTCCAGTACACGGCAGTAATTCTGGAAGTACCAGTGAGGTACGGCTGAAAATCTTGAATTATCGCACCCTGGTAAATTACTAAATTTATCGCAGGCTTTGTGGGAAATACAAAATTAACATGCTAAAATTGATAAAACACTACAGTGCATGCATGTAAGGAGTTTCTGCCCGGGCTGAAGTGATTAGTCTGACTACATGAGAAAAATTTCAGCCTGGGCTCAGTTTTCAGCTCAAGTAGCTCAAACTGGGCTGAAATTCTTGCCATGTAATCGCGCACAGGATTTTACTGGGAATTATTGTCAAAGCCAGGCTGAATTTTCAGCCTGGGTAGCTGGGCTGAAACTCGCTGAGCTGAAATCACTCCACGTAATCAGCCCCTAAAACTTATTTCCCCACAAGTTTGCCACCCACTGTTTTTAAATGCCACCCACTTTAAATAAAGTTAGAACTATCTATCTATAACTACAACCAACCTCCACGAGAACCTCCACCAAAGAAAGGCATGCCACCAGAATTAGATCCTTGCATTGACATTTGATTGAAACCGGAACCAAAGTTGTTGCCTCGCATTCTGCCTGAATCTGAAACATTTGTTGACATAAAATACTGAAATTTCAGCAGTTATCTTCATGCATACTTTCCGGCACAATGGTGCATTTAATTTCTTTACGTACAGTGAAAAACTGTCCTAAGGTGAGGCCAAGTTCTCAATACAACTTGGTTCAATATCCATACTTTGGTGTCAATCTACCAGGAATCTTCATTACTACACATTGTACTCTAAATTGCCAAGGCGATTTTACTTGTAAACACGAGTTTTGCATCTTAACAGGTTCAGTTTGTAGATCAAGCAAGATATTTTCTGATTTCAACTGATTGTAGAATGCGCCCTACATATAATATTTTACTCTGACTATTAATATGTCAGAATGGTCTAAATATAGACTCCAAAATAAAATAATTCGAGCAATAATTTACGTATTAATAATGAACAGCAACTCAAATATATATATATATATATATATATATATATATATATATATATATATATATATATATATATATATATATATATATATATATATATATATATATCAAAAGGAAGACAATACCATCTTAGGTCCAAACATTACTGCAATAAATTTCAAAATCAAACAAAATATGACTAGCTATGAGCGAAATTAACATGTTTCAAAATTGCAACGACTGCAGGGTCTGAAATTTGATTTTTTTTTAAGTATCCACATGGATACCAAGGTTTTAAAATTTGGTATCCCTCCCGATAATCCAGTATCCTAAATCTGGATACTTAACTAGTTGGCTTTTCGTATCCCACAGGGCCAGACCCAACATCACTCTAAGGCTTACTCTTAGTCAAGCATTTTCATCCATCGCATTTTATGTTTAACATACTAGAATCCTAAAAGGAACTTATACAGTTCAAATATTCAATTTCTTAACAGTTAACAGGGTTATTTAATTATAGATTAAAGTCTAAGTGTCAACTTCTCTGATTTTTAATGCTATCAGTATGCACTCAAATGGGAACCACAGTCATGTCATTATCATCATCATTGGCTGTATTATCATGAAGACCATTGCCTGCATCAGGAGTTTTGGTAGTTTTAATTAAATATTTTTTACATAATATCACAAGAAAGCATGGATTATTTATGAGTATTTTAGTTCATGACGGCAGCAAAAAAAATGTATTTCTTTTTTGCTAACTATCGACCTTCAAATTTCCTTACAATCTTCTTGACTTTTCTTCACGTGCCCACGAATACCGCCTGCTACGCAGGCTAGACTTTTCTTGATTTCAAAAAGATTCTTTTCAATGAAATCTGGACAGTTGTTTCAATGTGGAAACACTATTCAAAATGGCGACTCGCGAATTCAACCATGAGTGGACTACATGCATAAATACAACGTTAAGACGAATGCTAGACTTGTGTTACAGCACTATTTAATGAACAAAAATGTGGGGAGACTACTAAAACATTAACTGCTATCCCGTTTTTTAAAAAAATGTGGTATCCCATCGGGATACAAGTAAAATAAACTTAGTATCCAAAACCAAATTTCAGTATCCCGTGGATATCGGGATACCGCAAATTTCAGACCCTGGACTGAACAGTATAAATGTTTACAAATTTTCCAATAACAAACTCTAAAAATATATCACAATACAAGCTAAATTGCACTACAGTTTGTAGATATAGTCTGCTGTAAAACTCTAAATAAATAAAGTATGGAATCGCCACAGTTTAATAATAACATAAAAGCAACATTTGTAGATCGAGTTATACATTTCATAAATGCATAAAACGACATGTATTCCAAACTTTAATAGGATACATATTTAGTCAATCAGTATTTCAAATTGAATGGGTATAGCCACTGTATTATTTAGAGAAATACCAATGGTCCAACACGTGCATGGGTTTGTATCCATGCTCTTCGACTTGTCAAGGCAGATATCCAATGAAAAAACCTGCCAAAACATCTCAACGATTTGCAGCTGTTCAGTTTTTAGTTTAAAACCCAAATACCAAATATTTAAAACCCAAAAGTATTCTTTCAAAAACATACACTTTTACTGAAAGCGTATAAACATTGTGCCACAGACGGTTCTATAATTTATGCATATTTTGGCATATATTATTATTTTAGCCAATAGGATTTACGCGTCCTCTCATGGCTGTGAAATACCAAATGTCCTTGAGATTGTTGCAGGCTTTTTATTCAATCAGGCTATCCCACACCTTGCACAGGTCCCCAGGGTCCCCACCATGGGGAATGGCAAACAATATGTGTGTGACACTAGAAAATTTTACTGCTCGAGACGCAATTACTATAGTCTCCTACGCATACCTACTTAGCGGGCTGTGCCCTCACGTAAGGTATGCTTACTTTGGCCAAGAATTCCTTTCCTCAAAAATTAGCTAATCACAGCTTTACCCACAAAAATTGTGGGGCTTGACCTTTGACCTCGAGGCTTGGGTCGTCAAAAGTTTCAAAACATTTAATCTTGAACATTTCATATCTTCATTTGTACGTATTCATATCTTAAACCGATTATCTGCGAGCGCTGAGAGATATCTTTGTTATACATATACCAGTCTACAAATATTTTACAATATGGAACAATTGTAAAATCTGTTAGAATTTGTCGAGCTATTGTTTTGAACAGACAGTGTAGTAAAATCGAACAATATCACCTAAAATATTTCGCGATGTTTTGATTACTTTACAAGCGTTTGCAGGTGTTTCTGTAACACAGGTAATATACTGGACAAAGACGTCAAGACAAAGTTATAAAGTTACAGTGTACATTACTGCATGTAGATAATAGATTTATAAATACTAATTGAAGATTACAGAATTCAGCCTATATAAAATACTGAATTGATTCATTGCATATTTCGGTTTCTAAGTTTGTATATGACTAGCCAGTTTATAAGTACTAGATAAAACATGAGCAGCCGATCTGTATCTGATATACAAACTCGAGCCGAAGGCGAGAGTTTGTATATCAGATACAGATTGGATGCAAATGTTTTATCGTACTTAAAAAATGACCCATCTTTTGAGTTAATTGGCGAAGTAATTTTAAAAATAAATAGAGGTGAGCCGATCATCGGCAAAACATCAGCAAAACCGATTAATCGGCTTGTTTTTTCACAATCGGGCATCGGCCGATTGTCTTCCACCATTTGTATGGTCAGCGGTGTAATAAAAAAATGAAATTCAAATATTTGGTGTGGAAACAATTATCGAAACGAAAGTGGAAACACTATGTTTACTGATTTCCTGCATTTTTTCATCGTTGTTTTCTCATTTAAATTCTGGCATTTCTGCAAGATTTATTAATTAAATTATCGTGTTCCGTGACTTCCGTTGACCAGTCAGTAGCACACTGTGGATTTCAGAATCAGTGTTAAAAATGTCGCTTCCTGTTTCTGCATGTTTTGAGTCTTTTGACGAGAGGACACATTAGTAAAAAAAATTAAGATGACCATCGGTTTTGCCGATTAATCGGCTGATGGTGGGTAAATATCGGCTGTTAACAATCGGTATCGGTAATCGGCTTTTTTTAGACATCGGCTCACCTCTAAAAATAAACATTGTCTAAGCCGAGAAAATCAAAGCTGAAGTTTATGTAAATCAGGACAAATCTTTATCCGATTTACAAACATTGATTAAACATTCATTTCTTTTGTATTTTCCTTGTGAATTATTAATGAATTTTTTAAAGTTTAATAAAATCGCTCTGATATTGAACGTTCAGAAACTTATCATATATATTGAATATACATGCCGTCACGCAGTCGTGTCAAGTTCAAAACAAGTATTACCAGTGAATAGTTTTATATACATTTAAGCCTTCGACCTATCGCGTACATTTGTTGGAAAAATATTCAACATTTTCTACTTCGACTGCTATTGATCAGAAAATTCGATCTGTTCACATTTATGGCCACTTAAATACGTATGTATTATTCGATTACCGCACGCTCCTTGTTTACACTTTACAGTTGACATTCAAAGTGGGCGTGTCTAGTGTATTTGAATGCTATTGGCTAATGGAATACAATGGGAAGCCGAATTGCTAGCCAAAGCAAGCAGACCGTACGTGGCGGGCCCAAACCCGCTAAAGTAGGTCTGCATAGGAGACTACAATTACTACAACTCTATATTGGTTTAGGGTTATGCATCAGTCAATTCCAGCTGTGATCATCCCCCCCACCAGGACATTGTGGGGCATTTTTACACTTACTTGTCCACACGGCCGGGCATTTGCAGCTGCGTGCTCACCCGGGGCTGGGGATTTGTCAATATTGGGTTATTATCCACGGGCATTTGTAGCTCACAGAGAAAAGACCGTGGCCACCAGTTTCCTTTGTCGTATGCCAAATGGACGACTTTACAGGCAAAGACAAACGAGAGCTTTGTTGAGTCTTGGCAGACGAAAGAAGGCCTAGATAAACTTGTGGACATATTTAAAGGTAGGCTGTCTTGTTTTTCCAGTAATATTAATACCATGAAAAACTTTCTGCAATAAAAACAAGTGTGTCACAGCCTTTCGTCGATGTTTTCATATGAAGTGAACACGATAGTTTTCCCTGTTTTTTTATTAAAAAATCCCCAAAAGAACAACGAACAAAGGTATAAATTGTTAAAACACATGTAATTAATTTAGGACATTCTTTGAAATTGACTAATTTGTCGGCACAGGGGTTGGGGCATTGTTCCTTTTTTTTGCCCTACCCCTGGGCATTTGCACAAAAAACTTAAAATTTGCCAATTCCTGGGGGTTGTCCCGGGGGGTGGGGGTGGTCGCAGCTGGAATTGACCGATGCATTAGTTCAGGGCAGGGGTGTGCATATATTGCATACATTGAGAAAATAATGGTTAATTTGCTAAATCCAGTATAAACACCCACCTTGATAACTATCGCGCGTGTCTCTTCTTCGATCATCCATCTGTCGTCTGGTATAGCCATAATCTCTTTGCTCTTTCTTCATCATGGCCATTCTTGATTCGGCGCGACGAACCTCGACAGTTTTTGTTCTTATTTCAAAATACTTCACAGAACATACCTTGTCAACTATCTCTTTGCTATCAAAAGTCACGAAGCAAAATCCGCGAAGTCTATCGCTGTCTCTATCTTTCATGACCAAAATCTCTTCCACTTTGCCATGGCCAGCTTCTTCACAGAATTTATCGAAGCAATTTCGGATGTCTTCCTCAGATGTGGCGCTCGCTAAACCCCCGACAAATATCTTGTGGGAACTTTCAACTTCCTGCCTCGACGATTGCGCTGTTTCATCTTTAGCAACAGCCCGCTTTGGTTCGATTTCCTTTCCATCGAGTACATGTGGCTTCGCAATCAACACAGCATCAACTGATTCAACGTTTTCATAGGTTACAAACCCAAATCCTCTCGACCTTTTCGTATCGGGGAATCTCATCACGACCACGTCTACTGTCTCCCCCCATCGAGAAAAATAATCTTTGAGGCTTTCCTCCGTCGTATCCAAGTTTAAACCCCCAATAAACAATTTTCGCAACTGCTCTTTATGAAATGGAGGCATTTTTCGTTATATTTTTATTGCAGAATGTTCGAAACAGAACTCAACAATGGCGATTGGCGAATGGCGAGTCGGCGACACATACACATGCCTGATGCTTCGAATGCTACGTAAACTTCCTTATTTGGTGCATCTTTCCATATAAGGAAAATTCTTATACTTCTTGTATAAATATGCGGATGCGGACAACGGATGTACGGATAAAGGCACAGAATAAGGCACACGGAAGGTCGACTCGAGTAACAATCTCGTTCCCCGAGCCTGCGACCCAAGGATCGCAGGCTCGGGGAACGAGATTGGCTTGAGTTACACTTCTGCTGTACCTTCTTATTCTGTGATATAGCACATGAAATACAAATAGCCACATTTAGCGTGCAGAAGCCGTGAGTGGGATACGCAAAATTATCCTAAGTTATCCTAAGGAGATGTTTTCGTCCGGTCCATTGAACTATAAATAACTGGAAGGCTAACTCCTATAAAACCTGGACGATGGACAATTTTTATTTAGCTACAGCCGTTTCAACAAATTCAGTCTCCAAATTCAGTCTCCGGCTACACTTCGTCACTATATTTTTTCTTTGTCTTGTGAGCTCTGTGTTGGAACTATGAAGAAAAAATTTTCTTGTCTGTTCTAATCCACGGATAATTTTCCTGAGTGGAAACTAGCCTTAAAACGTTGTATTTATGGATGGGAAATTGATTTCAAAATTGATTAATTTAATTTCTATTCCAGCGATTCATGGGTTTTGAAAGACAAGCCGCTCGAAATAAAATATCACCGTTCGATTCAGCGTAAGAAATTGTACTTACGGATGTAAAATGTATATTACTAAACAACAGTATTCTAGCGATTTATGGCCTTTGAAAGTCAAGCGAAATTGCTCAGTTGTTGACAAATCGCTCAAAATTATTAAACTAATTAAAAATGAAGTCCATTTGATCCTTCATAACTTCGGTATTGTTGGTTTGCTCGTTTTCTGCCGTACACCAATGATTCGTCTTCAGTGGCGGCCCCCCTCAAAAAAAATTATTAGTCACTAAGAGCGACTAAAGGCTACACAAGCGTTTTGTCGTCAGTATCGGAAAATGTATGGCTTATAAGTTGTCATTACTCATTAGTGAATGCGCGTATACATGAAACTGTTTTTTACAGTTTAAATATTAGTTTGTAAATCTCTGAATGGTAAAACTTGCCAATACTCCAATAATACGTTTCAAAAAAAGACAAAAAAGCTTTAGTTTTGCAGAGTTAAATTCTCAAACGTGTAAGGCACTAATAAGATGAATGTATCACGAAATTATTTGAATAAACCACATCGCATATATGGGGGGCGAATGTCCTAAAGAGGGGCGATATTCCTAGGGTATTCGCCCCCCCCCCCTGGGAGGCGATATTCCTAGGATATTCGCCCCCCGGAGGCGAATCTCCTGGGGGGCGACCTTTTTAAAAATTCAATCTTGCCCCCCCAAATTTGAGTTTGCCGCTCAAATGCCCCCCCAAATTTGGAGGCCTGGCGCCGCCACTGTTCGTCTTACTTTTCGCTTCATTTTGATAGTATTTTGAGCCCAAGATAGTCTATTTTGAAGGCTTTAAAACGCAGTTTCGATACGTACTGCAGATCAACTGGCGGCCGACAGGAGAATGTACTGTTGGATATGTACATTATGTAGCGTACTGCGTACAACTTTACTTGTGCATGTAATCACAGATGTAATCTTGGACTCTGTCTTGTCTCTGGTTTTATGCGCCCAATAAGGACAAAAATACCACCGTTTGATTCAGCGTAAGAAATTGTACTTACGGATGTCAAAAGTATTACTAAACAACAGTATTCTAGAGATTTATGGCCTTTGAAAGTCAAGCGAAATTGTTTGTTGACAAATCGCTCAAAATTATTAAACTATAATTAAAAATGCAGTACGTTTGATTAAACTTTGGTATCGTTGGTTTTCTCTTTTCGGCCGTATACCAGTATATTCATCTCACTTTTCTCTTCATTTTGATAGTATTTCATGTGTTAAAACCTGGACGATGGACGTCCAATAAAACCTGGATGATGGACGTCCATCGTCCAGCGTCCATCGTCCAGTCCATCGTCCAGGTTTTAGCACATACCCTGCTGGCCGGCGCTCGCAGCAATTATGCAAAAATCATTGAGTTATGGGCTCCAGAAAATCTTAACTCGCGCCAAATACAGATTGATACCGCAGGGGTTTTTTTCAGATCTTCTGAAAATAACTAAATAAGTATAAATCAATACAGCCAAGCACATTTCAGCGTAATTTTAGGCCCCCATTTGGAGATCTCAAGCTCCAATTTTAGTGCAATTTTTGAGACCGAACAAGAAGCAAAAACCGGTGTGCCGTCAAGTTGCTGTCGTTTATTCACGATTTATTCAAATGCTCTTATTCTAGTTTTGAACAGGGAACCTGAATTGTATCTTAACTTGTTGATCTAGTTCAGTGGCGCCATGGCTGGGGGGGGGGGCAGGGGGCATGCCCCCCCCCCCTATTGTGGAGACCCGTCGGAAAATAGTGAATATTGTCGGAAATTTTTGGAAAATTGGCAACGTTGTCGGAAATTGGCAAAGTTGCCGGCGTTGGTATATTAGGAAAATTTAGGATAAATAGAGAAAATTGTGATGTCCAGAAAATTTTTTAGATGTAACCAGAAATTTTGGAATGTCCGGAAAAATTTTTAGACCCCTAAAATGGTACACTGACCGAACGGAGGGGGGGTGGGGTGGGGGAAGGTCGCCAAAAAAATAAATTTTCGCGACGTTCCTGTCGGAAACTATTTTCCGGTTTGTCGGAAAAGTACTGCCCTTGGCCCCCCAAAAAACATGGGTCCCACGGCGCCACTGATCTAGTTGAAATTTGGAAATAGTCAGGTGTTTTGACTCAGCGCGGCTCTACAATTTACTGAAATTCAACCTTCGATTTTGCTTGAAATTTAATAGCTCGGCACGGGTAAAATTAGTTTCGGCGTCTAGCGAAGCCATAAAAAAGAATTTTCAAAAAATAAATTTATCTTTCAACACACAAAAAATAAAGGAAATCTATTTTCCGAAGTCAAAGTCATCGGACCGCTCTTAGCCTGAACTTTAGGGCGGGGGAAACGTAGGTCTGTTATCAGGCTAGACCGCTCTTAGCGGGACCACTGAGCGGGGACCATTGAACTATAAATAAACTGGAAGGCTAACTCAGGGGGGGAAATTGAAGCCAGTGCATTTTAGTTTTTCTGAGTTATGAGCAGAAATACTCAACACTGAACGTTGGGCTATATATCAAATTGAAGCTACTGAAAAATGCTATTTGGTGTAGAAATTTCAAGACTTTAGCTAAAAGGGAAATAGTGAAAAACTACAAACATAATTACCGATAATTTGCCGTTTTGCAGTTGTTTTTGTATTTTTTAAATATTTTTCTTTTCGCTGAAGTCTTGAAATTTCCACACCGAATAGCAATTTTCAATAGCTTCAATTTGATATATAGTCCGACGTTTGGGGTCAAGTATTTCTGCTCATAACTCAGAAAAACTATTTTGGCTTCATCAAATCATAGGCCTTTATCATAGCAGTTAGCCTTCCAGTTTATTTATAGTTCAATGGCGGGGACTGCCCTCAGTCACAGAATACTACACAGAAGTCCATCTCCTTTGTTTTTTGCGTAAGCTCTATTCGTCATGATTCGTCACTCAGCAAGTACCGTAAACAGAAGCAGTCTCCCCCCTGGAAATACTCAAAATGGCGCATGTCCAGGGGGGTGACTGCTTCTGTTTACGGTACTTGCTGAGTGGCGAATCATGACGAATAGAGCTTACGCAAAAAACAAAGGAGATGGACTTCTGTGTAGTATTCTGTGCCTCAGTGGGACTGCCACTTAATAGTGGAAGCACTGGAAGTGGAATTCACGTGAGCGGGAAATTTCAATCAAAACAACAACACACATATTTGGAGTGAAATATTTTCATATTTGTAACCAATTCTACTCTCTAGAGGTCAACTCGAGTTTCTCTTGTGATTTTCTTTACGAAACGTATTTGACGGAGAACACTAGAGACATTTCCGTCAGAAAACATGAGCGGAATAAGATTCGTGGATGCGTTAAAAAGGATAAGTTATCACGGTAATTTGTCTGCAGAAAGTTTTGACTGGATGTTTGAAAATGAAGATACTTTGCCTTTTCTGGAGTGGTTTTGTGACAGTTTACATGGACAAAACGTCGTCACAGATGAAGAATTAAAAGGGTAAGCAGTTTAGAGTAACATTCGGCTGTATTAAACTGCAACAAATGACTTCAGTATAAATGACAAAAATAATATCCATCTACTTTGGATGCAAGGCCAACACTGGATGTATTACTGCTATTTGTCTGTTCGAAATAAGTTAGGGGCCGTCGACAAATATATTTCATCTACCGATTGCAGCCTTGTTCCGTGATGGTGTTCACCCCCTCCTCCATCACAGACCAACAGGGAAAAATATAAAATATGAGGATTTTGGGCATCTACACTTGACGGTATCAGAATGCGTTTTGACAATGAATATAGACCCACACATGAATAACGTAGTGGGCTACTGGGCTTATATTCGGGAGACTTATATTCTGGGGGGGGGGCTTATATTTGGAATGAGGTGAGCTTTGTACATGTGGTGGGCGTTAGTACATGTGGTGGGCTGTGGGCGTTAGTACATGTGATGTAGATCTTGGCAAGATTTTGTAAGATTTGGCAAGATCACAAGATTTTCAAGACCATGGCAAGATTATGGTAGGATCTTGGCAAGATTTTGATAAGATCTTGGATCATGGTGGAACTTGGCAAGTTGTCCAAGATCATGGCAAGATTATGATAGAATCTTGGCAAGATTGGATAAGATCTTGGTAAGATCATGGTGGAATCTTGCCAAGATCCTCCAAGATCATGGCAAGATTAATTGTGTCACCTGCAAGTGAGTGGAGCTAACTGCAAACTTGGGTCAGAAGCGGAAGGTTTAAACTCTGATAATGCCATCAAGTTTGTTACAAGTTGTTAAAAGCTTATTCCAAACTGGTTGACAACTTGGGACAAGCAGTGCGAACACAACTTGTTGACGGCTTGTTGGCAGACCTGTTACAAGATGTGAGATTTTTGCGTGTGTGATATTTTACCCGGACGAACATTGAACACACTGTGCAGTGGCGGCGC